AATATTTTATAATACAGACAATTATTATGATAAACTATGTTCAGAAAATATCGCTATCAAAGATCGTCGCCTTGAACTGCCGGTGGACTGCAATGCATGCATAATATATGATTGTGGCGTGCACAGCTTGTCCATAACATGGCGATGTAGTCTGGCAAACCTTTGCCATTCACGAATGCCTACCTAGTGATATGCAAATGAGCATAGTCGGCTGAACATGTAAACATACCTGTGCAGTCTACTGTCTAGCGACTTGACCTATTACGGAAAACTACCGTTATTTTTTGTATTTCTGTAAACCAAAGTGTCTTAATATAGCGACAATATTCTAATATTTTATAAATACGTAAGGTTGGTGAAAAACTCGGAGATAAGTGTGATATTTGTTGGTGGTTACGTTTTTCATTTAGGTGGAACAGTGGGGGTGCTAAATGTTGAGGTAAGAGCACGTCTAGCCGATATTGTATATTCAAATTAGAGTGGCTGACACACAGACAGGCATTAGAGGACAAGCATTTTACAGTGTGGTTTGCTTTTCCTGCCTATTACTAACGTATCTACGTGTATTTTTGAGGTCAGCCTGTTCTAGCTTGAACGGATCGGGACGAAAAATCAGCGTTTTCCCGGCCTATAAGCACCGCCACCTGGGTTAGGATGGAACCAGTCCAACCCCAGGTATTCAGTCCAAGTCTGAAAAAAGTGCTTAAAAATTACCAAACTGTGGCGATGAGCACTTTACAAGGGCCGAGCGGATTGCCAGCCCGATGGATAGACCAAGCCGTAATCCCTACTTCACCCGACGACGAATCATATAACAAGGGCCAGGGACTGGAAATGAAAAAGACAACCGTAGAAAAGTATTTAGAGGAGGCTATTTTCCACCCTCCACCGTTCCCTATTCAACAAATTCCAGTTTTGACGCCGTTGGATCAATCGCGAAGTGAACGCAGCGAAACCATATTGGAAGGTGAGACCATTTCGTGTTTTATCGTCGGTGGAGAGAAACGGTTATGTCTGCCACAGATCCTGAATAGTGTTTTAAGGGACTTTAGTTTACAACAGATCAACTCTGTATGTGACGATCTTCATATATATTGTTCTCGCTGTAACCCAGAACAGCTAGAAGTGTTGAAAATTATGTCAATTTTGCCGTTTAGCGCACCGTCGTGTGGACTGATCACTAAAACTGATTCCGAGCGGCTGTGCAACGCATTGCTCCACACTGTCGCTGCTGACGATAAAATCGTCGATAAACCTACGACTTCGGAGAACAGTTATAAAGTTCACCACGAATGTTTCGGCAAATGTAAGGGCATTTTCACCCCAGAACTGTACACTTCTTCACATGCTAAGTGCATCATTTGCGTCGATTGTCAGGGCATGTTTACCCCGCAACGGTTTGTGTGCCATGCACATAAATCTCTCGAAAACCGTACCTGTCATTGGGGGTTCGACTCGGCTAACTGGAGAAGTTACTTGCTTCTTGCCAAAGACCAAGACATCGATAAATATCAGGATGCGTTGGAGGAGATGAAAGCCAAATTCGATTTCGTGGGACGCTACAAACGCAAACCGGTAAGTGAGAACAATAAAGAAAAGGTGTCAGACGACTGTCTGGCACGATTTTCTCAGTCAAGTGCAAATTTAATTATTCTCCAGAATTTCACGTGTTTTATTTATTTCTCTAAATAAAATTATTCATATTTTCGGTAAGCATCACATTTGAAGTTTTAGTAACATGAATGTTTTAGGACTTGTTGGTTATTTTTGGCAGTGCGTTGATTAAATATCTCATAAGTCGAGACCAGTGCTAGGACCGGTTCACACCTTTTTTATTATTTGTTCAAGGCTCCATTTTTGACTCGCATTTAAATCAGTAAGCTGTTTAGTTGTCTAATTTTTGGCGGTTAATATACAAGACGAATACTGCCATAGGTTTTCTTGCTTTCTTCTGTCTCGGTCCCTTCCTTTGCCACTAGCACTGCGTGAAAATAGTTAAAATTCCGCGTAAGGATAAACGTGCTGGCACTATTAAGTTCACAAGTTCAACTTGTCCTTCATTTCAATCTGCACTACAGAGTGCATATTGATCTGGAGTCCGTTTTGTGACCCCACACACAGTTGTTTTCGTCAGCTAGC